AAAAGCTTCAACAGCATCTTACGGTGTTGCTGGGACACCTACTGGACAATGGTTAAAATATACAGCCTGGCACAAAACTGAGTTTTTAAAACCAGCTGTAGCAAATGCTGGAAGGTTTCCAGATTCTGAAGAAGATTTTAGAATTTGATCTTGAAAGGGGAATATGTTGCAACTTCATGCAAGATATGTTCATAGGAAGGATATTGAAGAGAGGTGCAAAAAAAAAATCACCACTTTATTTATTATTAAACAAACCATGACATCTTACAACATTAAAAATCTACAATATAAAATTGTAATCTCTCTCTCTCTAAAAAAAATAGCATACATTTTTTCAGTATGTCTCCTGAAATGTCAGTCAAGATTGTAATTGAATGGGTGTTGAAATACAACACCTGTAGCAGATTCCACTTTTAAATTTACATCAAAATTCGATGATAGCCCAACTAGATTTAATGCTTGGTATAAAAATGCAGCAACGTGAAATGATAAATAGTGTAACCTGTTCAGAAAGACAAAAATAACACATAAAATAAGGGTTGCTGTTTTTCAATGAGTTTTGTTTAAAAAATAGGTCTATATGCACCATCTAATTAATTGAGCACAACTGCCCTGTAGCTATTCCTTCTAGTATCTCCTCCTTTTTGTGCTTATGTTTGAGCTTAACAAAGGTGCATCTAGTTTCAGAGCCACAATTTATGTGCTACCTCTCCCAGATGATGTAGAAACTTGAAAAAGGACTGGCTGCTTTACAGAATAGCAGAGACATTCTTGGTTCATATTCATGTAACATCTGAAGCGCTTCTTGCAAGTTATTTCCGAAAATAATAGATATATAGAAACCCAACATAGTAAGACATTTCCTGCCAGATGTGCTACCTGCACTGAGGCTAGGAATAGCTGATTTCTCTCTTTACTGACACTTCTATTGTATAAATATTCTCATTGCTTTGGAGCCACTTTTATCCCTAATAGAAGCTGCCATTAAAAAAAATTTGATTCTTCACTCACTTTCCTATCAAGAGATGGACAAACCTGTATTTGAAAATCCTTTAAAGATGTAGCTGTAAAAAAACCACAGACATACAAACAGGAACATAAATTTGGTATCCATCCAACTTGAATAGGCAAGGATTTCTGTGGGGTCCTTGAAATTCTCTGAACTTGGTTGTTTTCTTGCATATAACAGAATAACAGAGTTGGAAGGGATTTTGGAGGTCTTCTAGCTCAACTTCCTGCTCAGGCAGAAACCCTATACTATTTCAGACAAATGGTTGCACAATATCTTCTTTAAAATGTCTAGTTGGAGCATTCACAACTTCTGGAGGCAAGTTGTTCTGTGGATTAATTGTTCCAATTGTCAGGAAATTTCTTCTCAGTTCTAAGTTGCTTGCTTTTCTCCTTGATTAGTTTCCATCCGTTGCTTCTTGTCCTGCCGTCAGGTGCTTTGGAGAATAGCTTGACTCCCTCTTCTCTGTGGCAACCCCTGAGATATTCGAACACTGCTATCATGTCACCCCTAATCCTACTTTTCATTAGACTAGACATACCCTATTCCAGCAACTGTTCATATGTTTTTGTCTCTAGTCCCCTAATAATCTTTGTTGTTCTTTTCTGCACTCTTTTTAGAGTCTCAACATCTTTTTTACATCGTGGTGATCACAACTGGATGCAGAATTCCAAGTGTGGTCTTACCAAGGCATTATAAAATGATATTAAACAGATCTTGATTTTATCCCTGTGTTAATATAGCTTAGAACTGTGTTAGGTAATGTCATCAGTGGTAGGAGGATTTTTCCCTACTACTATAGAGAGCACCAACATGAAGACACTAATGAGACCTTCCTCATGTTCCCTGTAATTAGTATCTCTGATAACAGAGGATGGAGTGAAGAACTTCTCCACAAAATTCTACCACCCAAACATGTTGCTATAGAAGAAGTTGATCCCACACTGATTCCCAGCAATTCTGGATTTTATATGTTACAAACACCCACTGTTGCATTTCCCATCTTACTTTTTATCTATGGCAATCCTTTGTATGCAAATGTATCTATTTATAAATAGGCAGATCTATACATTCATTTATGTCCTGGGGGGGAAAAACCACCATTTTGGTTTTTTAAAAAAAGTCAAGGATGTCCTAGCTATGCTCAAAGAAACAAGAGAATTGCTACTGCAGTCTACTTGAAATGTTTCTGCCAATTCTGCTCAGAAAGAGCTACTGTAAATAGGCCCAAGTCTCCACAGAAGAAGACAGAAAAGCCCTGAGGATAATTTCCAATCTTCTGTCCTCAACAGTCTTCTGTTCTTTTCCATTAATCTTCTCCCTGTGGTCCTTCAACAAAGACCTTTTAATCTGTTCTTTCAAAACCAGTAACTCTGCAGTTGCTATGTCTGTACATGAAGTCCAACCATGTCTGCTGGAAAGGATTGACAATATTCCCTTTCTTCTTAATCTCACCTTTTGGGGGTGATTATCAAGGAATAAGGTATCCCGTGAAAAAGCCACACAGCTGAAAATTGTTTCATGTACAAATGCTTTTGTGTGAGGTTCACCTTTGTTGTTCAGTCGCTAAGTCATATCTGACTCTGCAGTTTGCTCAAATTCATCAGTGACACTGTCTAACCATCTCATCCTCTGCCATCCCTTTCTCCTTTGGCCTTCCATCTTTTCCAACATCAGGGTCTTTTCCAAGAAGTCCTCTCTTCTCATTTAGTGGCCAAAGTATTTGAGCTTCAGCTTGAGTATCTGAAGTTCACTTTTTGGCTATATTTGTATTAGAAACAAGAGGTAGCTAAGACCCTCTCAAGAAAAGTCATGAGACTAAATTCAAGAGAGAGCAGCAGTAGTTTTTATTTCTTGGAATATGAATATTTCACCTCTTGAAAAGCAAGGTTAATGAAATCTATATATATATAAAAGCGAAATACCACTCACGCATCATCACAAAATCTCCAGAACCATAAAGCCTACAAACTTGAAATTTGGCGTGTATGTTCCTCTTGGCTTCTAGGTGCTCACTAAAAAAGAATTTTTCAAAATGACCACCACAGCATTAGCGTTTCCTATATTATTATTAACACGCTCTGATGCTAAGGAGTTCTACTCCCCCTCCCCACCTGAAAAGAAATCTGTTCCAAATGCAAAACACAAGCAGAGGAGATGAGTTTCAGTTTCAGAGCAGCAAGCAGCTTTAGTACAGAACAGCTGATCTAAGCCACGCCCAGGCTCCTTGCTGTCTCCTTGTTCACACAGCAAATACTGCTTCACTTTCCAAACAGCCCTCAACTTTCTCGAACACTGACAGGACACTAGCCAGATGAATACCGATGGATGCTGATAGGCAGAGGCAGAAATTTTTCCCCTTATTTTCCTCCTCCAAAAAACTAAGCCCGACCACATAGTCTTTTAGCGAAGCACGGGTATCGAGCTAGTAGTTCATAATATGGCTAACAGCAAGCCTTGTGTTAACTCTGGGAACGTGGGCGCAAGAACAGAGACGAGGCATCGAAATAGTGACTCCAACTCTTTATTAGTGACTTCAGAACAGAGCGAAAAGACTTGGGCAGCAGCAGCTCCTTTTATAGAGCTGGCTGCTGTCACAACACCCAATGGTTTGAGTTTGCCGCGCTGGGAGCGTCCAATCAGCGGCGACCCGCTGTCAGCCAATCAGATCAGCCAAAAACGACCAATCACGATCCGCTGTCAGCGGGCCAATCAGAAGTGCAGGTTTACAAACCTGTCGTGGAAAGAAAACTATTAGACTTGCAAGCCAACGAGCTTGCTTAGTACGGAACACCTTGAATCCTAAATTAATTCCATGCCAATAAAATAGTGATGATCTTCCCAACATTAGTACAGAGTTTGGGGGAGCCGTCTCATAGCAGTTACATGTTCATCTTGCATGGGTGATCTTCCTTCTCTCGTTCTTATGCTTCCTTCAAAGGGAGTTTCTGCTTTCCCTCAAGATCTGCAAGCAAAGACGATTAGAAACACAACTTCAAAGGTTTTCCAAAAAAAGAGAGGCCCTGGCTAGTTTTTCCAATAAGTCCACAGATCCTAGTGACTTGTCATGCCCCTGGTGGAGACTGACTTGGAGGGAGAGGAGGAACAGCTGACAGGGAGTGGAAGTGTGGCTCCGGAGGTTGTGGAGGAGGCTGGGGAGGGTCAGAGGCTGGCTGAGAGGTCAGAGGAGGACCCAGGCCCATCCCCTCTCCATCCTAGGGCATGCAGGGAGGAGAGGATAAGGGAGAGATGTGGTCTACTTGGGAGGAGAGGGATTTGATCCTCTTCATGGGGTGTAGCTGTGACAACTGAATAAGAGGATGGACATGCGTATGGGCGAGCGCTGGAAACAAAGCGTGGAAATATTTCTGGTTTATGATTCCTCTCTGCGTTTGGCGTCTTTCCCAGTGTGTGTTCAGTTATCTGTGGTCATCCTCCAGCCCATATCTTGCCTGGTTTGTGTTGCTTTTTCCTCCTTCTTGTAACTCTTTCTGTGGGAGTTTTTGGTCTTCCGTCAAGGATATTTGGAGCTTGGAAGTTTTCTGCAACTGTGTTTGTTTTGTATCCCCACTCTGGGTCATCACAGACTTCTGCTCTGGTTGTTCTCTAAGCATAGTTACTGCTAGACTTCATGATTAAGTCAGTGTGCTGTGTTTTCACATCTTTCTTATCAGGTTGCTCCAGTAGAATGGGCCTCCTTTCCATGAAAATCAGCTGCTATATACTTAAAAAAAAACAAAAAACAGTCAGAGCAAACAGAAACCAAGGAAAATAATGTCCATTTGGACAATCCTATCTGAGATTCTCCCTATCTTTTTGGTGATACTCTTTTAAGTGGTGATTTCTTTTCTGAAGAATTTTGTTACATTATTCTCATGTCTCTCTCTCTTTTAAAATCTCCTTTTCTCAGGCATGGATTTGTAGAAGAATTCCGTATACTAAAGGGGAGAATTAAAAAAAAAGCTGTGTTATCTCTGGGAAGTGAGAAAAGATGCCTCTTATAGGAAGATACCTGATCACTTCCATCTTGACACTACTTCTTCTCTGGGGTGGAGAGAAGATTAAAGCTCAAAGGGCAGGTAAGTGCAGGTATTGGTTGCAAGACATGTTCATTTAAGAGGGGCTTTACTTGGGACCTTATTAAAAAGTTCTGAAAATTACAGTAGGCAATACAATTCATTCACCACTTGAGATTATTTTACATGTAGAGATAGTCCTCAACTTAACAGCAATTCATCTGAGACTGTTCAAAGTTACAATAGCATTGAAAAAAGTGATTTATATGTCAACGTTCCAGAAAACCTCCACTCCAACAAGTAACTCCGAGATGGACATCTTCTCAAAAGTTCTGTTTTATTTGGATAGTCAACTGGCACATCTGGGGAATCCTGAATCTGAAAGCTCCGCCCTTCCTTGCAATAAGTAAAAACTACAAATCCACCCCCATTGCACACTTCATTGCATCACATGGCCCAATCACCCTCTGTCCCAACTTGAGACGTCTCCTCACCCAGGTGCAGAAATAACATGACCTTGATTTAGAAGAAGAATGCTATTATATCTAACCACATACACTCCAAGAAATTCCCTCCTCCCATTTTCCCAGGCTCAAGAATGTAGCAGTGTGGAAGCGTCTGGTGTCAGTATGGCTCCCAAAGCTGACATTATGAGTGTTTTTCACGCTTAATTACCTTTGCAGCATCTCCATGGTCATATGATCAAAATTTGAATGCTTGGCAACTGGTTCGTATTTATAACAGTTGCAGTGTCCAGGAGTCATGCGATCACCAGTGGTGGGATTCATTTTTTTTTTTACTACCAGTTCTGTGGTCGTGGCTTGGTGGGCATGGCAGGGGAAGGATACTATAAAATCTCCAGTCGCAGGTGGTATTTGCCAGTTCTCCGAACTATTCAAAATTTCCACTACCCGTTCTCCAGAACTGATCAGAACCTGCTGAATACCACCTCTGATGATCACCCTTTGAGACCTTCAGACAAGCAAAGTCAATGGGGCGGCCAGATTCACTTAACAGTCATGTTACTAATTTAAAAAGTGCAGTGATTGACAACATCCGTGGCAAGAAAAGTGTCAACATGAGGCAGAACTCACTGAACAACTGTCTCGCTGAACAACAGAAATGTTGGTTGGTCAATTGTGGTTGTAAATCAAGGACTATCTGTATGGCCTCAGATCTTGGAGTACTCATCTCTCATGATCTAAGTGCTACAGCCCACTGTAACTACATAGCTAAAAAGGCATTAAGAGTTGTTAATTTAATCCTACGTAGCTTCTTCTCTGGTAATAACACACTACTAACTAGAGCATACAAAACATTTGCTAGACCTATACTTGAATATAGCTCATCAGTCTGGAACCTGATGTATTGCTCTTGAGCAAGGAAGATATGCTCTGCTTAGACGCACCAGTTGGAAACATTGAAAAAGCATTTGCTGTTTTTTTTTTTCATAAATTAATTTCAATTCATTTTTCATAAATTCCATTTATGGGAGCAAAGTCAAACAGTGTCTCTGCCACTTAAAAATGGAGAGTAGCTTCCCACTTCAATGGGCCACTTTTGAAATCATTGTTGAATACAGAACCCACATTAGGTATCTGATATTAGCACAGTTGAGAAAATCCAGAAATATTTCACAAGAAGAGTTCTCCACTCTTCTACTCATTGCAGAATATCTTATGCCACCAGACTTGAAATTTTAGACCTAGAAAACCTAGAACTACGCCGCCTTCGGTCTGATCTAAATATAGTATATAAAATCATACATTGCAATGTCCTACCTGCAAATGAATACTTCAGCTTCAACCATAACAACACAAGAGCACACAATAGATACAAACTCAAGGTTAACCGCACCAAACTTGATTGCAGGAAATACGACTTCAGCAACAGAGTGGTCAATGTCTGGAATACTCTCCCTGACTCTGTGGTTTCTTCACCAAACCCCAAAAACTTTAACCTTAGACTATCTACTATTGACCTCACCCCTTTCCTAAGAGGTCTGTAGGGGGCGTGCATAAGCGCACCAATGTGCCTACCATCCCTGTCCTATTGTTTCTTTTTTATTTTTCTTATATGTATCCATTTCCTGTATTCATAACTATGTTTATAGTTATACCTATTATCTTGTAAGCGATTGACAAATCAAATAAATAAACAAAAAATAGAATACAAAGTACCCGAGTGGGAAGGGACCTTGGAGGTCTTCCAGCCCCATACTGGTCAATGAGGCCTCTTTATTAAATCATTCTAAAATACCAATGCTTGAAACAAACAAATATCCAACTGAGTTGATGGATTACATTTGGCACATCTGATTCTTTCAGTGATTCTGTTCAAAGGGTTGCTTTGAAAGAATGATTGGGTTAAATTGTTTTCAGACCCATTTTGCAGCTTGCAAAATTCTTCTAGCTCTTGCTCAAAGTGAGAGCTTCATCAAGGACTTTCACCTGAATATCCTAGGTGAACTCCACTGAACATGACAAGACTTGCTTAAGAAGTATGCATGCAAATACTCTTGTAGCTCTCACGTAAAAGCTACACAACCCTACAATTGTTGAAGCATTTTTTGGAATCAATAAAATTGTTCATTTTAATCTTGGAGCTAAATTATTGATTCATATAAAGGTGAAGGATATGTCCAATCTCAATCATCACTAGCTAGACTTCAAATGTGACAGACATTCATCCTGCTGTTTATTTATTAAATGGGCTGCCAGACTTCGGGCAGTAGAAAACAGGGACAAATAAAATAGAATAATACAAAAGACCCTATAAAAGAGATGTCCAGAAACATCCAGCTATAAAGGTAGTCTCAACTTATAGATAGAATTCTTTATTGGCCAAGTGTGATTGGACACACAAGGAATTTGTCTTGGTGCAAATACTCTCAGTGTACATAAAATAAAAGATACATTCATCAAGAGTCAAGAATCATAAAGTACAACACTTCATGATAGTCATAGGGTACAATAAGCAATCAAATCATACTAGGAAACAATCAATATAAATCGTAAGGATACAAGCGACAGAGTTATAGTTATACAGTTACAAGTGGGAGTGGATGGGTGGTAAGGATAATTATGATCATAATTAATCCAAAAATTTCCACCGCTAAGCAATATAATTATTAAGTGAATTTTGCCCAATTATACAATCTTTTTTGCCACAGTTGTTCAGTGAATCACTCAGTTGTTAAGTTAACACAATAATTGTTTAGTCAATCTGACTTCCCCATTCCCTTTGCTTGTCAGAAGGTCACAAAAAAGTGATCTCATGACCTTAGGACATCATAAATATGAGCCAGCGGCCAAGCATCCAAATTTTGATCATACGGCCATGGGGAAGCTACATCAGTTGTAAATGTGAAAAATGGTCATAGGTCACTGTTTTCAGTGCTGTTGTGAGTTCGAATGGTCACTAAGCAGAGGGTTGTAAATTGAGGACTACCTATGCTTCAAAAGCAACTTCCGTACCAGAGTCCACCAACCAGTCTAGAAGACCTAGAAGAACCATGTTTTAAAGTCCCAAAGGTGTTTTTTTTCAAGAGGGAACTGGATTTTCTGGTTTTTCTTTGAAGGCATTTCGCTTCTCATCCAAGAAGCTTCTTCAGCTCTGTTTTAAAGGTTTGCTTAAATAGGGTCAGGATAAGGACCATAGAATTGTATGGGGAGATACTGATCCAGAAGGTAGACACTATGACAGAAAACACCTGCTTTCTGGATCTAATATATGGCGCCCAAAACATTCAGACTTTGCCAGATTGTGTAGATGAACAAAAGCTGTGGAAGACAGATGCCACGGTGCCTCCATTCCAGTAGAAATGGAATTCACACCCAGCTTAATTTATGATCTATTTCTTGAAATATGTGCTTCCGAGCACATCATTTGTAAACCTATATTTAGCTACTATATATTGAGCATACACACACACACACAGAGAGATGCTTCTTGCTCCAATAAGATAACGATTCTGAATATTTTTGCACTCAGTGAGTCACCCACATGTCAGGTTTTGTTTTGAATCTTGCTCTGTTAAACCTTCTGACTGGTGTTAAATAGTTCTCCAGACTAATGATTAATAAAATCTAACAGCCCTGGTTAAGAGAGAATGTGTAGAAATGTAGAAACAGCGTGACTGGGTGGAAGGCAGATAATCTGATATACCCAGGCATTTTCAGCTTGTGGCATTAAAGGGGAAAGGAAGGAGGGAGAACAGAGCATACTCTGTTGGGAGTTACTTTCTTTCTTTCTTTCTTTTTTTTTAAAGTTGTCTCATAGACATGCAAACAGAGTAGACAAAAGGGGCTGAGCCAAGACAGCAGCCGCCAGGGAGAGAGAGAGAGAGAGAGAAAGGTGGGGAAGAGAAAGTTTGCAAACTGCAGCAAAAAGCTGGATTCGGAACTAGTTTTAGACACCGCCATTAAGGCAGAACCTCCAAGAAAATACTTAGCAGAAGGTCTGCCAGGTGAAACATGTTCAATGCTTTGGAGAAACAGAGAGCTGCTGAGTCATTTCTTCAGGTAGACTTTGCTATGTTGGAGAGACATGTCTATGAACGTTGCCCTTCTCCTGGCTGCCTTTCTCTCCCGCGTCTCAGGAGCCTCTCGTATTTCCCTCGCAGGTTGTAAGAACGTTCACTATGATCTGATCTTCCTGCTGGACACGTCCTCCAGCGTGGGCAAAGAAGATTTTGAGAAGGTCCGCCAATGGATAGCCCACCTAGTGGACACGTTTGAGATTGGACCAGACAGAACTCGTGTTGGGGTCGTCCAGTACAGCGATCAGCCAACGACTGAGTTTGACCTTGGGAGTTATGGGACTCAGCAAGAGATCAAAGAAGCTGCAAAGAGCATCAAGTACTATGGGGGGAATACGAACACTGGAGATGCCCTGCGGTACATCAATAGTTATAGCTTTTCCGTACAGGCTGGCGGGAGGCCAAATGATAACGCCATCAAGAAAGTTGCGATCCTCCTGACTGATGGCAGGAGCCAGGATTACGTCTTGAGTCCTGCCTCGGCAGCGCATAAGGCTGGCATCCGGATTTTTGCAGTGGGTGTTGGGGATGCCCTCAAAGAAGAACTGGATGAAATCGCTTCTGAGCCAAAATCAGCCCACGTCTTTCATGTCTCTGATTACAATGCTATTGATAAGATACGGGAGGAGCTGAGAAGACGGCTTTGCGAGAGTAAGTAAATAAGCCACGGACCAAGAAATTGTGGAAGGCGCATAAGAGTTGTGGTGGTGCAGTGGTTAGAGTGCAGTACTGCAGGCTACTTCTGCTGACTGCCGGCTGACTGCAATTTGGACAGTTCAAATCTCACCAGGCTCAAGGTTGACTCAGCCTTCCATCCTTCCAAGGTTGGTAAAATGAGGAGCCAGATTGTTGGGGGCAAGAGGGTGACTCTGTAAACCACTTAAAGAGGGCTGTAAAAGTACTGTGAAGCAGTATATAAGTCTAAGTGCTATTGCTATTGTCCATTGAAGGAGTGCTAGGAAAATATATTAAAAAATTCGTTTCAGATTCTTATTGCAGATAGTCTGAAGGCATGCACTTTTATGCTGCTATGTGTCAGAGCTGGAATTTGATGCCAAAAAAGTGTTGGGGACAATATCCATCCTTCTGAGGTGGGTAAAATGAGGACCCAAATTGTTGGGGACATTTTGCTGACTCTGTAAACTGCTTAGAGAGTACTGTAAAACCCTGTAGAGTGGTATATAAGTCTAAGTTCTATTGCTATTGGTTGATTTAAAGAAGAATAAGCCTTTGAATTTTAAGCCTCTCTCAGTGTGGGAAAAGGACCGTGTTCTCAAAAGCCTCACCAGTAAAACTAGACCACCCATTAGTAAATGTATTGCAAAATTTATGCCTTGGTTTTTTATGTAGCCATTTCAAATGTTTCCTTTCTGCAGGGAAACAAACAGAAGTGTTGTCTATGGAGAGTATCAATCAACCAGGTCATGGTTGTCCCCAAAGTGGTTTTTCCAAAAGGCAACTGGATTTGCTTTTCTTTTTCCTTTGAAAACATTTTGTTTCTCATCCAAGAAGCTTCTTCAGTTCTGACTTCAGTTAGAACTGAAGAAACTTCTTGGATGGGAAGTGAAACATTTTCAAAAAGAAAAAAAAACTCAAGAAAATCCAGTTGCCTTTTGGGAAGTGTACCTTTGGGACAAACTGAAGTGGTTTGCATCAAAATTTAGAGAGAAATGTGCCATATGTCATTATGGATACTTCTGGACATTCTTCACTGCAGAGAGCCCAACTTGGCTTTCTTCCCTGTCCTTTTGGATTATTTCATCAGGATAAAGTTTGAAAAAATCTTCTTTTCAAGGGACTGGCTAAAATATTGGCTAGATTTAGTGCTTGAGGGAAAGTTGGCTGCAGGATAATCTTCATGAGTGTTCACTTTGAATGTTATCCATTGATTATATTATGGGAAACATTATAATTTGTATTTTTTTCCTTTAGAAAGGAATAAGCACTGACATGACAGAGTAACAATTGAACAATAATACAAGTAGGTTCTTATAGTGAGTTTGCTCAGATTTGGGGTAAAGTATGCATGAAGTTAGAAGCTTGGAAAGGAGATTTGAAGATGAGATTTGTGGTGCTACATTTAGAAGAGCCAATAAGATCTACCAGGCTTTACATCATTCATGAGTGTCTATCAGCTTATAATTACAAAGTCAGCATGGTAGCTGCAATGATATGATATATCCACTTAGTTTTTCTCTGTTTTGCTTCTTTACCTTTTAGCTAAAATCAATATAGCACATAAAAAGTAGGCAAGGCTTTGTCCACACCTCTGCAGCTACCATCTTGGCTGTTTGACCCAATCCCACAAACTATCTTCATGCCATGGATGAACATGTCCATGCAGTTGGATGAAAAGTATGGCAACTAGCTTGCTGTATGGGAATAATCCCCACTTTGTAGAAGTCTGCTGATGAATGGTGACAAGTGATAGAAACATCTCTAGGTTGGATGTGGATATTCTGTAGCTAAGCAGTTGTTTGACAGACTGACAGTTTTATTGTACTTGGGCAACTGTTTTCCTTGAGGCAATAATGATTTGTGGTTTGACAGGCAGACAGAGACGGAAGGATTTAAAAAGAATCGTGTGAGTGTGTGTATTTGCAGAGGTTCATTCTCTTATGTGCCACATTTTGGGCTTTTTGATCTACGTTCTGTTCAGATTAATCCAGGGATCTACAGGTGGACAAGTAGATCCAGATTTTAGTTGATCAGCATGTTATCTAGATCTCATGGGATTTTGTACTTCAATCAAAGTTAACATCTTTAAATTTTAAAAACCATGTCTTGAACCTAATTTTGTTTTATAAACCTTTTGCATACCTAGTACTGAGTAAATTTGATTGCCCAACTAATTAATGCTCCTTACCACTTTCCGTAGTGTAGCACATGGCTTGTTTTGAAGCTGCTTGGCTTGTTTTGAAGCTGCTTGATTATTTGAGTTAATTAAAATTGCTGGGTTTATGCAGGGTCCTGAACTCTACTTAAACCAGACAAAGTTATACCCAAAGGCTAGGCTTTCTACCTTTCAAGCTACATGAAAATCTCTAGCTGTTACACATTGGTGAATCTGGCTGACATTCTCATTTGATCGATGTCACACTTTGCTGTGATAATACATCACTCCATATTGGAGTTTACAACTTAAAGAAGGAAAATAATAACCTTCTAGGGAATCTGGCATGACAGATGAAAGGAAAATTATTTTCTGTCTTCTCACACACAATGATGCGGTCCAATATAATAATAACTCTACCTACAATGTAGCTTGGAAGCAATACAACAAGACTAAGGTGTTTTGTCATATTTCTCTCAAAAAGAATTGCAGCTTTTAAAGAAATTCTTAATGATGTTAGGGTCATTGCTTTGGAACAATCTCTTCATTTCAAGAAATAATGTTCCCCCTCTGAATTGACTTTGCCTCCAATGACATTCATATTTATCAAAATCTGAATATGTCTCATATTGTAGTATTTATCTTATTTTTACGAGATTGAGTGAAAAAAAAATCTGGTCTATTACTTTCTGAGTATGAGAAAAGTTTTAAAACTGTCTCCACCAAAACCAGGTAATTCTTTCAAGTGTATTGATCTTTCTTCTAAATCTGTTTAAAATGTGTACAGGTAGTCTTTGATTTATTTTTTATTTTTTAATAAAATTTTATTTCCATTTTCCACATATTAAAAACATCTTTTTTAGTGAACAGCATGATTCCAGGTTATCACATTTCCATACAAACATGACTTTAATTTCATACTCATCTTTTACATTTAATTTCATATTTTATCATTACTTTACATATTTTTTATCATTTTTGTCAGATACTTTCCTCCAGCTTATTTTATATATTTTTTCAATTCATTACTTGACCTGTTTTCTTAAACTTTAAATAACTCTCATATCTTTATATTCATTATACTTTATGCTTTTATCTATCAAGTTTGCAATTTCATTGCATATTCTTATTTCATCATTCTAAAAATTCCATCTCAATTCAAACATTTCAAAAAAGTTTCCCCCACTTAGAGTCTGACATCCCTATGGCTTATATATCATTTAATTAATCCCCCTTTAAATCCCAATAATTATTTAACTAAAAAATCAATAACAATAATCTTCTAACAACTACATTGCATATATACCTTTTAGGTCAGATTCCACAAGTTTCCCCTTTAATTACATAAAAAATAATTATGATTTCAAAAAGAAAAATTAATCTATTCAATTCATCATAAAGACTGATATTATTCTCTTTACAACAATGCTCATATTTCATTTCAGCTGTAATCTATAAATTCATTAAACGTAGTTAATAAACTTATCAGGTAGTCTTTGATTTAGAAAAGCTCATGTAGTGACCATTTGAAGTTTCAAAGGTACTGAAAAAAAGTGACATGATCATTTTTCACACTTGTGACTTGTGTAGCATTCCCATTGGCAGGTAATCAAAATTCAGACTTGGTTACTGATTCATATTTATGATGGCTGCAATGTTCCAGAGTCATGTGATCAGCTTTTGTGAGCAAAATTAATGGAGAAGCCAGATTCACTTAACAACCATGTTATTCACTTAAAGAGCTGCGGGGATTCGCTTAACAACAGTGGCAAGAAAGGTCATGAAATGGGGCAAAACTCACTAAACAAATATCTTGCTTAGCAATAGCAATAGCACTTAGATTTACATACTGCTTTATAGTGTTTACAGCCCGCTCTAAGCAGTTTACAGAGTCAGCCTCTTGCCCCCAACAATCTCTGTCCTCATTTTACCCACCTCGGAATGATGGAAGGCTAAGTCAACCTGGAGCCTGGTGAAATTCGATCTGCCCCAATTGCAGGCAGCCGGCTGTCAGCAGAAACAGCCTGCAGTACTGCACTCTAACCACTGTGCCACTTAGCAACGTAAATTTTGGGCTTACTTGTGATCGTAAGTCAAGGGCTACCTGTCAGGGTTCCAAGTAACGCACCCATAGCAAACAGAACTCCAAAGCAATAACGAACAGGTTTATTTGATATATCATATTGGCACAAACTGGTGAAAACTGACTAAAAGTTCTCATGGTTTTCACCTAATTCAAAGTAAAAGTCCCCCCCCCCCTTTCCCAAACAATCAGCCACATGGTCCAAATTAAGATGCTATCCAGTTGCTTGGAAACTTCACTCTTCCTCTTTTCAGCCACCTGTGGGAATGTCCTTGGTTCTCAGGGGAAACTATTTTGTTTTGGCTACAAAATCCAAACTATCCCCCCCCCCCGCATCCCTCATCACCATTTTGTCAACACTGAAGCTTCCAAGATGGCCTCAGTCAAGCCAGCTTCAGAGTTGACATTACCTGTATATATTTATTTAAATGTTTATTATTTATTTAAATTTAAAGATTACTCTGGGCAACATATTAAAAATGCTTGCAACTGAAAAGCACAAGTTTTAAAAATGTGCTTTAAATGCATCACAACCCCGAGATGTTTTTTCCCCCACTTTGATACAGATGTTTAGCCTGCTGTGGATTGCTTTGCCTCTGATAATTTATGATCTTCTACTTTTGTCAGTGCTTGATATTGCTACTGGTTGCAGTTCAGCGATTTTTACTATCAGTGTTACTTAGTTCCACCGTGACAGATGGTTAATGTTGTGGCTGCTGCTGCTGCCATTTTTCT